AGTGAAGCAACGTCCTCCACAACTAGATTGAAGAACAAAACGACAGCAACTTGTCTGTTCCCATCCCCCCAATTCCCCAATAAAAATCTTTAAAAAAAAATAAATAAATAAACAGAGCAATTAATAGCAGTTTGTTAATCCCCAAGTGGGTGTCACATGGCATCTTGTACTCATTTGCTGGACATCCAGGGATGGTCTACCTTAAATTTAGAAACTACAGAAGCAAAGTTATTCTTTAAGAAGTAGTCATTTTACAGTTCATCCCACAAAGAACTCTATATAAAAGAAAGATTTGACAGCATTTATGTTTGTGTTTATTTTCTGAATTGGCAAACAACAAATATTTAATTTTATCTCTTGCTTTTACCATTGGAATCATGAACTTGCAAAACAAAAATGATGTTAGGGTAATTTTGTCAGTTTTCAAAGAAATTAAGAAACTTAACCCATAAATTAAGAAATGCATTCATAAAAGTCAGGGTCAAGCAGTTTTCCTAGCTTCCAACTCTCTGGTTTTTCATCATGCTGCAAAAAATGATTGAGAACTAGTATAAATTATATGTATGCTTCACTATATGTATTTGCAATTTTTTTTTTTTAGAATTGGAGATAAAACTGAATTATTCAAAGACCTTTCTGACTTCCCTTTAATAAAAAAGAGGAAGGATGAAATTCAAGGGGTTACTGACAAGATCCAAATACATTTGCAAGAAATACGAAAAATACTAAAAAATCCTTCTCTACAGTATGTGACAGTATCAGGACAGGAGGTAATATCAAACATACTTTTATTTTGTTTTATTAATTTTATTTACTTTATTAGTTTTCCTGAAGTAGAAAAGCTATTTTAAAATGTAAAAAAAAATATGAGACTATGATGAAAACATTATTTTCATATTTTCAGTTTTATTCCTTAAAAATATGTTGTCATACCTTGTTTTGATAAGAATTATTTCATAACAGTGTTTTGTTTGTTTATGTACTATATATAGTCTCTTGGTAAAATCATGCAGTTTAATATTACATGTGTTTTAATGTTATCTGTTGAAATTATATTATAGAAAAACCTTGACTATTGTAGGTAACAACTTACAGAATTTATTTATCCGAAATCCAGGAGAGAGAAGTTAGTTTGTGGTCCCTGCTTGCAGATGATGAGATGATACAAAGTCAACCACCTGTGTTGATTGGCTCAAACAGCGATTACATGGCAGGACTTCCTCCTAAAATTAGGAGTATAGCTGCTAAAAAACAAAAAGCAAATAAAAACAGAACTATAGTGAAAAACTACATTTAGTAAGTTTCTATAACATTAGGGTGCTGTTTGAATGTATTATTGGTGTGTGTGTGTGTGTGTCTCTTTAAAGTTTGATAGTATCTAAATGAGAACCAGGAAAAAGTATGCTTTTTAACTGTAGTCTTTTCTTTTAGTCTATTCTGAGTCTTGAGGCATTCTACTTCCACATCTTGAGTTTAATAAAATACAAAGATTCCAACCGAGGGAATTTGAGAAATTCTTTTTCATTAAATAGTGAATTAGGATATTTATGAATATTTCTATAGGATGAACGTTTTAGTCAGGATTTTAAAAAATAGATATTTTTCTGGGGGTAAAAGCTTAATTTCAAATCAAATATAAAAATATTTACATTGCTTTATATATTTAGCCAAAAAATTGTTGATTTATTGATTATTTTGAAACAAGAAACTACAGTAAATTATAATCTTCATTAAAATATTTATTAATCTTGTGCCATTTAATAGACCGTTAAGTCAGCCTGTCTTCCATATTCAAATTATTAAGATGTTATACTCAGGCAGACATTTCACAATGCATTCCACGCAGAGCTCTATATAACAGAAATGTGAGTTGACAGTATTTCCACTTGTTTTTTCTCCCCTGAACAGGCAAATACCAAATATTTAATTATATACCTTGGTTTAACCATGCAATCATGACCTTGCAAAATGACAAGAGTCCTAAATGACACCATTCTGGCAATTTACTGAAAATGAGATGATCAAAACTGCTTAATAACATTAATTAAAAATGTGTAGCAGAAAAGTGGTTATCTGGTATTACAATGGGGAAAGCTGAGGATAAGTGACAAGTAGTAGATACATGCTATGTGAACATGGAAGAATCACCTCTGTTGTAAGACTAGCATGAACAGCAGTTGAGTTAAAATACATGAATGTGCTTTCTCATCAGAAAGCACTATACAAATGTTACTACTACTACTGCTGCAAATGTTACCATTTGTTAAGCAGTTATTAAATGGTGCTAAGTGCCTTGCATATATTTAATTTAATCCTTGTAACAACACAAAAAGGGGTTCTTTTTGGAAAGAAAACTGGAATTTTCTTTACTCCAGTAGGTTACCCAAGTCAGAAGCTCATTTTCAGCCCAAGTGTGCCTGACTCCAATCTTTTTACCATGTCATTATTTCACTCTATTCACAAATCTTAACATAAGGGATTATCAACAGCATGGAATTTATATAATAAAATCCAGACATTTTAGAGCTCCTATTATTCAAACTAAAATAGAGTTTAGGTCTTGGGAACACAGTCCTGGATTCAGGTGGCAGTTTTTAAATAAAAATGGGAAAAAATGATCAGGAATTCATAAAGGGGATAGTAAATTATTCTTTATGAGTATAGCATTGAAGTTTAAGAAAAATCACAGCATGGAGATCAAGTAATTGGGTTACAAATGATTACGGAGGGAGATAAATTATCTTATTATTCTTTACTTAACCTTTACTAGGTTAAGGTGATGAATTTAAGGCAAGAAATTTCTTAGTTATTAACTGTAGGATGAATTCTTATTGGTTTTTAAAAACCTTCTGTAGAATTTTAATTGTGCATTACTGTGGAATCACATTTATACCATTTTTTGAGAATTAGCGATTCTATTCATTTAAACACTGAGTGACTTCTAAATATTCAGCATTGTTATAATTAAATTCTGTTGAAAAGATTTTACTAAAGGTAAAATCATTTAGAGATATTTAAAGGACTAAGATTAGATTCTGTCAAATATGATTACTTCTGAGAAGTGAGGGAGGAAGAGAGGGAAACCCTTATTTTATATATACGTGCGTCTTATTTTATGCCTTTCTGTTCTGTCTGAACTTTTGTAATAATTTTTTAAAGCAGTTCCACATGGTCTATGGATCTTATTATTATTTCTAAAAATAGATAATTCGACAGACTGTTAAGCCATTGTTACTATTGACAACATTCATTTCTCACCTCTGTTTCCAGTTTTTATATACTCCTTAGAATACTAAGTCTTATTGCTTATGGTGCCTTTATTATCTCTTGACTCTGAAAGTATTTGTTTATTAGAAAATAGTGAAAGCAGAAACTTCTATAGCTTTACATAGTTCACTGCTTCTGTGATAGTCTGTATCATATTTTATGTATATAGGGAAGTCTCTCTTAACCTTAAATCAAATGTGGACTGAATATGGGGTGATACTTAGATTTGGGGCAGTATTGATAGGTATTATTGGTCTTAAGGAAAAGGAAAGAAATATTGGGAGAAAATCTTTAGAAAAAAATTATTAATTCCAAGCATGTAGCATATCCAGGTATCTGCTTAGTATGTTTAAGATGTGGAAAGCATTCTCTGTTCAACCTTATTTCTACATTAAAAAAAAAAGTTGAAAATTCTTAAGAGAGTGAGAAAGAAAAGGTGGAGAGTATGAATGGGGTAAATGCGGTGTTGGAGAAACAGAAAGCAGTTTTGGGGGTGAGTAAAGAATTTCAGCAAATTTAGCAATGATGCCAGGCCAGGGATACCACAGGCAATAGTTTGAGTAACAATCTCTCACATTTAATCAAGACAGAATTGATTCTCAGGAGAAGAATATGGAGATTGCTATTATAGAACAAATCAAGGCAGACTTTTCACAGCAACACTTAACAAAATCAGGAACTACAGAGCAGGAAAAGTTGCTATGAGAACTTTCTTAGACTTCTGAAATACATGTTAATTTCCAATGTTACTAGTTTTCCTTTCCTTTAAGCAATAAAATCCTTAAACAAAAAGCCTGTCTGCTCATTCTTAGAATGTTTGTAAAGGGAAATAGAGAATTTCCTCGTCCATCACTAGTGTGGAAGGAAACCAACTGCTAGCTGATAACAGTTCTGAGGAGAAACACTGGCAGAAAACCTAGACCCACTGAAAGCAAAAGACAGGGATCAGCTCCTGCCCAAGGAAGTGACCCAGGGATTAACAGGCAGGAAGTGCCTGGGCTTTCCTGACTCGCACTGTGTTTTCCATCCGATATTGGCTCTGCACATGGCTTGCTTTGGGGGTTGTGGTCTTTAGGGTAGACCCTTGATACTTGCAGATTGAACAGTTATGCTCCAAACTATATGCTGCTCCAAAGGGCTGTGACCAGTAGCAGCTTTTAACGTGCGTAAGATACATATTGAATCCAGCGCCATCATGCTGCGGAGTTCCTGCAAGTTACTTAAGTAAACGAGCCTAGCTGGCTGCCCCAGGACCTCATTGAGGTAGTTCCGGCTTGTTTTCAAAATTTCCACCGTCCCTTAGGCAGTAACTCTTGCGGAGCTCTGTGTTAGTCACTATGAACTAGATGTGTCCTTCCCAAATATTAGTGATCCAGTGTGTTTCTGAATTTTTCTCTCTGCCTTTGGCATAGATAGCACTTCTAGAATTATGTTTTTAAAAGCCCAGTATGTCACTTTCTCATAGAACATTGAAAAATAATAATTAAGCAGAATTTTTTTTTTGCACAGTTTTAAAGTGATTTTATCTTTACACCAATGATACATATGACCATATTTTGTAGGTTTCTTTTCCTCACTTTTTGTAGACAAAGGGGACTCTTTTAGACTCCTCATTCTTAACTGTTTAACTGCGTGTGGCAGACTTCAAAGTGTTAATTCCTATCTATACAAGAGGGCCTCATTAGTTCCAGAATTTTTGCTAAGAATGGAAGTTCTTAAAATTATTAATTCCTATTATAATTAATGTAAAAGTTATAGTGTTTCTATTGATAAAAAAGTAACTCGAGCCAAACTGCCACTTAATAATATGCATATTATAAATATCTGAAATGTTATAAAACTGATAAAATTGAAAAAGCTCCCATAACCATCTCAATTTTAGGAGCGGCCACAGAGCTTTCATCCTGTATAAAATAAGTTTATTTATTTAAATAAAACACAGAATTTTATGGCAGTAATATAGGAATGCGAGCAGGAAGAAGATATGATTTATAGCAAATGCTAAAAATGAAAGGTGTGAGAGAACTTGATTTCACTTACTTCTTGGCTGATTTCAGAAAAGCTGTCTTGTAGAGCACTATTGGATCTATAATGTTCAAAGAAGTGAAAACTTAAAGTAAACACTCAAGAGAAGAAATACCTTCCTCCATTTATAGTTGGGGAAGCCAGTACTTTTTTTATGAGGATATTTTTAGAAGATTTAGGTTCCTTGTATAAAAACTATTATAATAAATCCTATTCGATTCAGAACAGGAGAGGGACCATATCTCAAACTTGTATAACAACTAATAACTGAACATTTAAAAATTTTATGTACTTAGAAATTCAGTCTTATTACTGAGTAATAGAATTCTTAAGATAAATGGGTACTAATAAATGAAATATGTCATTAATGAAAAAAATCACCATTTGTAGTATGCATAAACCAATGTTATAAACATTAAAGTGCCAAGTTATATCTTTATTACAGACTTTTTTCTCAATACAAATTGTACTTTATCCCAAGTATTGGAACCCTAATTAATAATATTTCATAGTATGGACATATATAAATTCTCCTAAGAACAATACTGGATTTATTTTGAATGTTTAGAATAATATTTACTATTTATAATTAATATTTAGTATAATTTTGAGGAAGCTTTAAAAATATAATGGTTAATCATTCAAATATCTAACTTTTGCTTATATTTATTTTAGTTTATGATTGAAATAAAGAACTCTGCTGTATATTGTATACCGGCTGATTGGGTTAAGGTTGGAAGGTAGGTTCAAAAATACATTTTTAGAAAATTAGCATGAATTATAATGACATCTGTATATCTGTATGCTACTGACTGATAATAACTGCATCCTTGACATAAAAAGCAATTTTTCCCCTTCGTTTTTCATTTTTTTAATGGAACTTTTAACCAAAGGAAACATTATTTTTAACTCTTAACCATTGACTTCAAAACATTTTTTCCAAAAGGTATCTTATATGTAAACATTTGTTTTGTTTTGTAAATTACTGTTTTATTCTTATCCCTCAGAGCACACTTTCAACACACGAAAGAAAAAAAGTTGAGGGACCTTTAGTTATAAGATTAACTTGGTTGCTTGAACTTCTTGATGAATGCTAACCTGACATTTCTTTTTAGAAGCTCAGATTTCATTTTCTACTTCACTGAGCTCTGCATTTCTTTACTTGTAGTGCTTTCCATGGCACTTAGTTATAATAGCTCATTATATCTTTCTGTTTTGTGAGTTATATCATGAATTGATGAAAATAAATTAATCAAAAACAAAATTAGAGAGCCACAATGAGACTCTGATTTTTTTCCTTGGTTGGGCATCAGCCCCCAAGAGGGGACTCATTTAGAGAAGTGTATCTTCCCGTGAGTAGTATCCTTTGTGGAATATTTATTACTACTGTTATTAATATGTTTGCATGAAAAAAATGTTATATTTGCCTTAGGAAAAGAGGGACTAGAAAGATGGAAACACATCTTGACATGATATATAAATAGTTATTAATTTATAATTTTAATTAAAAAGACAACTATTATCCATTGCCACTATCAAAGGATACTGAAGATACAATCAGGGGTTTCTTTAGCTCTAAATACCATCCTTTTTTTTTGTTACCAGAATGTGTAATAGAGACTTGAGTATTGTCAATTTTAGGAGATGTTTTTTTCCTTTCGCAGGCATTTTTTCCTTTTATTTACTTTTGTCCTATACTACAGCCAATGAAGAGAAATATGCTTTATGAAGAGAAATTACTAAAAAGCATGCTAGTCTATCTAGAACAATAACTGAAATGTCTCACTAAATGAGTTTTGTCAGAAGAGAAAGCTACGATAAATATGTTTGCATAGAAATCTACATGACATAATTTAAAAGCAATAAGCATGGCAGAAATCAGTGCCAACATCTTTTGAACATTCAGTGTTGTAAACTGAATGAATAAATAAATAAATTATAATTTTTTATCTTTGTTTGGCTATCGGAGTTCTGATAGGGATAGTTTAGAACATCGTGAGTTATATTTTGAATGTGAAAGGCCTACCCCTAGTCCAGTAACTTGACAAATTAAAGATAATTGTGACTGTGTATTACAGGATTGGGGAGCAAACAGTGATCAGAGTATACTCTGTTATCACCTGCCTATCACTCAACCCTGGCCTTTTCTTCTTTGAGGTCTTATCATAGTAATAACACCCACAGCAGTGACAAGCACCACCACCACCACAGAACAACTCCTAACATTGAGCACTAATGAGAGAGGTACTCAGTTAAGCACTGTCTGTTTGATCCTCTCAACAGTACCTATGAGGTAGATACCATTTTAGCCTCATTTTATAGATGAGGAAAGTGATGTTTAGAGGTCAGTTATATTTCCTCCAAGTCACGTAGCTATCAAGTAAGTGGCAGACTTGGCCCAGGTTCTCTGACTGGGGATGGGTGGCACCCCCTAGGGTGCTCTGCAGCTTCTTAAAGAAGCAGCAGCGATTACACACAAGCCCAGAGGAGGAGCACTTGCTGTTTCTTCCCATCCGGGGTCACTGTGGGAACTCCTCTTTGCCTCCTGAATTAATGCGTTGCTATTCTTTGTAATGCTTTATATTTTTCTCTTTTTTTCACTGAAATGCTTCAGTCATACAGAAAAGTATTAAATGTGAAGAGTAATATGACCGTCAACAATGTAACCACTCCCCCTCCCCCAACCCCCAGCTTTTTCAGGACTTATTTTACCATATTTGTTTCTGATCCTTTTTTAAATAGCAAGCATTTGCATTTGGTGTAATTTAAAGAAAAAAGCTTTCCGCTCATGAAATTAAGTCTAAACTTTGACTTTGCCATATGGATATAATTTGAAATGCATTTAAAAAGCTTCCTGAGCAAAGTCCTGTGAACTCCCAAGTACTTTATTTACAACGAAGATCTTTGGCATCAGTAGGGTTCAGGGGCACAAATAAAGCATGTTCTCTATTTAAAGCTATTTGCTTTCAAGGTTCATCGGAGAATAATAAATAGTTACTTTGATTTTCTGAAGTGATGGCATCGCTGATTTCTTAGTAACCTTGATTTCCTGTTTATGTTTTTCCCCCCTCTTCTAGCACAAAAGCTGTGAGCCGCTTTCACTCTCCTTTTATTGTAGAAAATTACAGACATCTGAATCAGCTCCGGGAGCAGCTAGTCCTTGACTGCAACGCTGAATGGCTTGATTTTCTAGAGTGAGTTTACAAAGTAAAATATAATCTGACTTTTTGCTGTGAGAAATAGACCGGAAAATCTTTCCATCAACAAGAAAAGTAGAGATTACGGCTTGTGACCTGCTATGAAATAGTTGAGTACATGTGTCCTCTGATTTTGTTTTTAATCCATTCAAATGTAAGCTCATCTTAGTCTTTGGTGAGAGACCAAAATATACTTATTGTTACTATACTAACATTTTGTTGCTAAGGATATTTAGTAGAGTCACCTTTTGAAATTGCACCTTGGACTTGGTTTGCTTTTCTTATATGCAGGCTTAACATTTTCAGAGTTGGACAAAGTATGGGCTAGCTGTTTTGTTTTTATTATCTCCATTTAATTAAATTTTTTTATATCCTATATATTTTTCCCCTACGTTTTTATTTTGAAAAAAACTTAAAATGTATGAAAAAGTTGAAATGAATACCTATGCACCCTTTACCTAGATTTATTGAGTATTAATATTTTGCCATATTTGTTATATATGTTTCATACATTTTTTTTTCTGAATCATTGGAAGTAAATTTTAGACATCATAACACTTTACCCCTAAATACTTAGGCATACACCTTCTAAAAATAAATATATTCTGCTATATAATCTTAACACATTATTACACCTAGGAAAACTTAATATTAATTTAAGAATATATTGAAATTTCTCAATTTCCTTCCTCAAATTTTTAAATGAAAAGTCTAATCAACTTTTATACATTCTATTTGTCTCTTTAATCTATTTGAATTTAGAATAGTCCACCACCTTTTTGTTTTTTATAGTATGAGAATTTTTTTTGGAAGAGTACTTGCTGCTGTCTTATAGAATGTCTCATATCCTGGGTTTATTAGGAGTCATGTGTTCATATTGATAGGTTTAAGTCAGCATGTGCTGGTAAACGGTTAACAGGCAGCTCTCTGGAATAGTAGTAGTGTTTGTGGTGTTTGCTGATTTCTGTAGTGTAAATACTCCCACCTTGACTGATTTTAAGCTGCCGTTGGACAGGAGTTGGGAAGAGACATGCACAATTCACTTCCATGAGTTGGTAGGCACTGGCTCCAGATCCCCATTCCTCTAAGCACTTCTTCTATACTACCTCCTTATTCCTCACAAGGACTCTGTGAGTTAAGTAGCATTATCATCTCCAATATATAAACGAATAAAGCGAGATGCAGAAATAAGAAGCTGCTCATAAGGTTCAGGACTGGAGCCAGGGCATCTGGCAGTGAGGTGTGTATCCTTTCCCATCAGGCCATTCAGCCTACCCATGATGAATCTATAGGCATCACTCTAAACAGAAACCTCTCTCTTAGTCTTTCTCTTTAAAAACTTAAACAGTAAATATTCAGTGAGGTCCTTTATTCCATTTAAAGTAACCAATCTGACAAGTGAAAAATTAAAAAACAATATAGATATGTGACAGTTTTTAACAGGTTGGTATCATCTCTTTTTGACCAGAGGAGTCTTGAATTATAGGATCTGAAAGAGATTCCAATTTACTTATTTTGAGTCTTTTGAGGTTATCTTGACTCAGAGCCTTGGCTGGGATGGAAATTTGGTCTATTCAGTTCCTTTTCCAATTTACTTTCAATTTCCCATTTTAAGGGTTATCTGGACACTTGAGTCTCTCAGTTCTCCTGGCTTTTCCCTTAGTAGTATCACTGAGAATGTGAAAATTGGATTAAAATTACTCCTTTCAAGGTCGAAGGGTCACATTCTGGGGTCCTGGGATTTGGTGAGGTAATTCATAGTCATTCTATTCATAGTGTACATGATTTTATAAATCTGGGTTATGTTCTCCTTGTCATTATTCTAGACTAAAGAAAGTTCAGGTCTGCCATGCTAAAAACTTGGGCATTGTCCTTGATTCTTTCTTCTTTTTCGTCCCTTTATCTGTTACCAAATTCCTATTTGTCTTTTTTTCCCTTTGAAATATCTCCTTGATTTGTCCCTTCTTTTTCTGTTCTCATCTAGCGCCCCATTACTCATACCTTTCTTACTGTACCATCTCTCTGCCTGGGCTCTTCAGCCTGATTAACCCAGGAGAATTCTGCTTTCATCATTCCACGCATTTGATGTAGTTGCTAGCTGCTAAGCATGGGTCAACATTAAATATAGAAAAAGAATATGATACTCATATATTGCTAAGTGAAAAGAAGGACGCAAAACAGTATTAAAATAGATAATTCCGTATGTATAAATTCACACACATGCACAGCATACAAACCTTTATATTTTTAAAAATCAAATATTGGGTTGTCGGAAAAGTCATGATGTATTTTTTCTAAGTTTTTGGTTGCAAAAATGCGTCATGACTTTTCCAACAACCCAATATATACTTATTATATTATTAACATGCTTATTTTGTATATCTTCTTTGGAGAAATGTCTGTTCATATATATGTATATATGTAGTCTCAAATAGTAACTGATATTTCTGATGGTAAGGTAACTGGAGATTTTAATTTAATTTGCAAATACGTGATTTCAGAGGCGTCTGTAATATGACTTTCAAAATAAGAAAAATATATTAGTTTTAGAACAAGCATACTGGCTGAGATTTAGTTAGAGCATTTGCAGCTAGAGCTCCCACTTGAGAACAGCATTGATTGTTGTGCACATTATTAATTGAGGTGCCAGATGGTGTGAATATGATGTTATTTAAAAAATTATTAACCTCAATGAACCTGACGTCAGAGGATTGAATACCAGCTATACAAGTGTATTTGTCTCTTACTGAGATACTAGCTGTTGTGCATTAGTCATATTGTATTTGATGGAAATATTGCAAGAAATCAAGGTTGTAAGAAACTTCTGTGAATGGAACCCTCTCTCAAAAACTGTTTTTTCTTTTGTGTTCTAGAAGATGGGCTGTGGATATTGAATAATTTTCTCAATTGCAAATTTTTGTCATAACGCTCATTCAGTAGTTCAAATATTTTAAAAATTCATTTGCAAATAAAAAATAAAATATTTTCCATTTTTAGTAACTTAAGATGTCATCGAACAACATCTGATGGTAAACGGTCATAACAGCTTTAGAACCCAAGTGTCTTGATCTGCTTCCCATGGATCCAGCAATCTCTTTGACCAGAGGTTAAATTATAGTGCTTTGGCCTCATCCTTAAGTTGGCTGGTGGCTTAGTGATGAAGTTGCATGTTGTTATGACATAAATCCAGTCTATCACATTGTTATCTGAATTGCCCATTTTTCAGCTTGTCATTTTTCTAAGTGTGAATAATCTCTTTGAAATTTGGCTAAGTATAGCCAGTGGATATAGACCAAGAAATCAAACAAGGCTTCGTATGAGTTATGATGATGTTTAAGGTTTATGATCATTTTTCATATCTTATTAATATTATTGATGTGAGAAAGAACATTGTTGTCCATATCGAAATGATTACCTTATCCCTCCTTGCCTTTTTTAAAAACTGAAATGGTACCCACTGAGAACTACGTCCCTCATTTCAATCCTGGGAATTTATTTATTTATTTATTTATTTTAAAACTTTTTTTAAAGCTTTTTATTGGGGAATTGGGAAGGGGAACAGACAAGTTGCTATCCTTTTGTTCTTCAGTGTAGCTGTGGAGGATGTTGTTTCACTGGACCAAGTTGGCACCATCATTGCGCTCTTCCCTGGGCGAGGCAGATCAGTCACCGGCTTCTGGACGGCCGCTCACTGCGGCTGCTGGCCGCTCATGCTGGCTGCTGACCACACACGGTAGCCCATGGCAACCCACCTGCCGTCACCGGCAACTCATGGCAGCCCAGCTCCAGGTTGAGCCATTGCTCAGCACCTTAGCTGCAGAGGGCAGTGTCACCGGCCCTCATATGTAGGATCCGAACTGGGGCCCTCTGGCGTCCCAAGCCAGCTCTTAACCAACGTGCCACTCGGCCAGCCCGTGGGAATTTAGATCATCAGGGATAGTTGCCCTCAACCTAAGGCTGCTGGGTAGTAGCAAATTAGGGTTTGTGATGACAGGACCTGAGTCAGAGGGAGTGAGAGGAAGGAAAAAGGGACTTTTTAGTGTCAAAGGTACATTGACACTCATCCAGAGAGGCAAGGACAGAAAGATCACATGTGGCTGCTCTCGGGCAAAAGAGAGAGTGCCAGGATAGAAGACCAGATGGGTCAGTAATGAGAACAGGGACAGAATAGGCCACAGTCCAAGGGGTTAAGTGAGTGGTCAGATCTGAAACTGAAGTCAGATTGGGAAGGACAAGGCACGATCACTGGGCAACCGCTCAGGAGTGTTAGGTCCATGCAGCACATGGCGTCTTCAAAACTAAGAGACATTTTAAAGGTGGCAACTCAGTGCCACGTGTCTGATTGCAGGGGCCTGCTTCCTTTGCATTTGGGATGTTGCACTGACTCATTGTCTGGGATTTGTGCTGTTTGTTATGATGAACTTTAATTCAGGGGGAAATAGATAAATTATATTCGTTATGCTCTACTCAAAGAAGTGTAAAATATACTGTAAATGTACTTTTTAATTTACAAATAGTTAACAAAAAATAAAGCTGGATACTTAAAATGTTTTTAGTATCTAAAAAAGTTATTTATGTAGAATATCTTATTATCTATTTCTAGAAAAATCAGAAATTACAGATTCTAAAAAAAATCAATATAGTGATAACATAGGAATAACTGGTCACATAATAGCTTTTTCAAACTGGATATCCTTTTCAAACTAGAAAGCACTCTTAAAAATCATTGTTTTTAAGAAGGAAGGAGAAAAAAATCTCAAAGTTTCTGAAACCCACAGTATAATAGATATCTATTTTAAGAGAAGCATTCAGCATAATACTTATTCTCTCTTTGGGGAGATCTTCTTTAAAAGGATGTAAGGGATACCTGTGCTATGAGAAAATGGGATAATTGAAGCAAAAAAAAAAAAAGAGAGAGCTAGAAAGGGAAGACAGCTAGCTGCATACATTCTTACATTTTTTTCTAAATAAGTCTTTTAATAATGACTCCAAAGCTTCTAGATCATCAGCTATTAATTAGCCAAAGGTTTGAGGCAATGACCATTATCTTTTAAAAACAAATATAGGGCCGGCCAAGTGGCGCAATGGTTAAGAGCTGGCTTGGGATGCCAGAGGGCCCCGGTTCGGATCCCACATATGAGGGCCAGTGACACTGCCCTCTGCAGCTAAGATGCTGAACAACAGCTCAACCTGGAGCTGTGCTGCCTGAGTTGCCGGCGACGGCGTAGGCTGCAGCCCCTGTGGCAGTGGGTTGCCATGGGCTACTGTATGTAGCCGGCAGCCAGCGTGAGCAGCCAGCAATCGCAGTGAGCAGCAGTCCAGAAGCCGGTGACTGATCTGCTCTCCTGGGAAGAGTGCAATGATGGTGCCAACTTTGGCCAGTGAAGCAACGTCCTCCACAACTAGACTGAAGGACAAAACGACAGCAACTTGTCTGTTCCCCTTCCCCCAATTCCCCAGCACTGTTCCCATCCCCCCAATTCCCCAATAAAAAACCAAAAAAACCAAAAAAAACAAATATAAAAGTTAATTTCTGTATGCACCATTAATAACTGCAGATCACTGAAAAAAAAACTTTTCTTCTTACTTGCTCTCAACAAAATTTATTACAGTATCTATGACAAGGTTATGGGCTAGATATTAGGGCTAAAATGACAGGCAAATCAGAGGGACATTGACTCTACCATGGAGAAGCTTCCAGTTCACTGTGAAGATAATGAAATTTGGATGATGATGGTATGAAGAAGCACAGAGGGAACCAGGGTAGTTCATGATGTTACTGAAGAAGCTAAACGAAAATGATCACTGCATTAGTGTTAATTGTATCTAAGTTGAAATGTCATGGTCAGATGAATTGTGCAATATGGTATTAATAATAGATATTTTTGTCTAAAAGTTGTTCAAAATATATATAATTTTATCCAAATGAAACAAAAAGAAGCCTCAGTAATCAGGTTATTATATTAAACAGAAAAGCTGTTCAATATAATTTCCATTCTTAACTGCTAGGTATGCCCAGTTATTTTATTTTAGCTTATCTTGCTAATCAAGTGCTCACTTACTGTACAGCTTTTAAAAGTCTAAGAAATCATTTTGCTCACCATTTTTTCCTTGTTGCTTCTGTAGGAATTTCGGTGAACATTATCATTCTTTGTGTAAAGCAGTACATCACCTAGCAACTGTTGATTGCATTTTCTCACTGGCCAAAGTCGCTAAGCAAGGAGATTACTGCCGGTAATATATTTTTTATCCTCCCCCCACCCCCACCACATTTCATTGCTTTAGATCAGATGACATTATTCAATCAATTTTAGTATTTGTAAAATACTAAAATTGCTCAAATATATTGGACTGTTGGTAAAGCTGAATCTCATACCAGTATAGCTTGATTTATAATTAAATTCCTTTCTTGCTTGCTCTGTCACTAAGTACAGTGATAACAGGTGTTCACTATCACTCTTGAGGTGAATATTATACATTGGGTTGTCGGAAAAGTCATGACGCATGTTTGCGACAGGTGGCAGTAGTTCATTTTTGGAAGTACTAGAGTCATTCGCATCTATGTTATTGCTATGTCATTT